GTGTACGGTTTTTGCCTTGCCGTGCTCTTTCTTCAGTGTGATTTTCATTTTCAACAGCTGGCTTAACCCTATAAAATCGAAGATCAAAGTCATTACCGTAAAGTCCGCTGCAAACGGCCACACCATTTTTGCAAGATCTGCTGGCCTGTACACACTGACCCCATGCACTGTCACCACTACTGTACGAAAGTGCATCTCACACCGTAGAACAAAGAGCGCTCTGCTACGGTAAACTATGTCCACTTTCCGGGTTTCAAAATCGCTCTGGGCACTAGCCACAAGCTATAGCTCGCAGTGATTATATGATGATGGTTGTTTTTTCGCAAATCCAAACGAGTATTTCTTCCGAATAACAAGGTAGCGAAGAACAGAGTATTGCAGGAACCAATACACTTCTGACGGTGTTTCAAGTCATCATTTCCAAATCCGTGACACAACGCTCGAAGAAAGTATGTTTTTGTCGAACACTTCAGAGTTTTCAACAAGCTAGCAGCGACTTTTTAGGTGTAGCTTCTATGACATACTCTGTTCGACATGAAACTGCAATACTGCAACCAGTCAAGTCATTGAATGACGCTTCGTCAGAACAATCACTGTTCCGTTCTGAAAGCACAACATCGTGGCACTGCAGAAATTTCATGAAAACTAGATGGATTCTACGGCGTTACCAAATGGAGAGCGAACTACCACATGGACGAATCATTTATCGAATGAAAGGAAATCTCGACAGAAGTTTTCCTTTGCAGCAAGATAATGAAAATCGCTTTTGCATAGCCTCTTGGTACGACATAGGCAATTTAAAGGCATTACAGCCGTTTTCGTACGCATTCGACCTTCATGCCAGTTTTCTACAACTATATTGACCGGAAAAAGACGAAAATAGTATGGACCCGCTGGGGTGGGCGTTTGCTGCGAAGTGGGTGTTTGCAGCGGACTTTACGGTAAAGGTATTGAACAGGGGCTCTCGAAGCCCCTAAAGAGCTCCACCGGCTATACATACTCCAAGAGTGAAGCTCGCGATAAGAGCCCAGAATTTCATTTGCTTAATTTCTTTTTGAGTAGTCCTCAGTGGTGCGGAGTTACCAGAAGAAAATATTCTCACACCGCACCAATCCTTTCTACACACAAACTACAAAACTAACCACTATAAAAGGGAAGGGTACACAAGCATAATGCAAGTGAGATAATTCATGTAACCTCGTTCTAAAATACTTAGTGCATGGCAATGAGGGCCTTATGGCTTGTTTGTGCCTTTCAGGTTAGCCCTTGGGTCTGCGGGCCTCAGGCTAACCTGAAGGGCGCTAACAAGCCATAAAGCCCTCCCTGCCATGCGCTAATCTATAAATGGTGGACAGCTGCACTTGACAGTACTGTACGGGATATGTATGTGATAGTGCCAGGCATGCTCAACGGCACAAACCCACACACACACACACACACACACACACACACACACACACACACGCACACACACCTCCGACCTCAGACCTGCCCATCGCGGAAGCGATGATAGCGAACAGCTTTGTTAGACGTAGCAACTTGCGCTGGGATAACACCATTCTACAGCTTGCAAGGCTAGTGAATTGACCACCACTGCTGGCACTAATTTTTAGCCTGGTCTACACCACACAGCTGATTGAAGTGACTTTTTTCTGGCCAGTGAATCGCTATTTTCATGCTTCATTTTTTTACATGCTTTCGGCGTTTTTTTTACACACGCACCACACCACATACTCCAGCCTGCACTTGTTGTTGGTAACCACCCAGGAGAATGAAACACACCACACACACACACACACACCCACACACACACACACACACACACACACACACACACACACACACACACACACACACACACACACACACACACACACACACACACACACACACACACACAAACAAACACACACGCACAGATACGAAATATTAGCGATGTGGACCATGGCTAGCGTCAGACGCTACTAAAGTAATGCAATTTCCGTTGCTAAATAGACGGCGAGGAGACAAAAAATTTAAACAACAATAAATAGGATGATTTCCGCCAACATCACTTCACATCAAAAAAGCCATGAAGGAGTTCAAAAATCGATCTTCATGTCACATTCATCAGTGGAAAAAACATACAAAAAACAATGATTAATCCCTTTAATACTAATAGTGCGTGCCAAGAACGAAATAAAGTGTTATAGATAAAATGCAAAGGGGTGAGACAATAAAATGTGACAATAAAGTTGAGCATTAAGGGGGTGAGACAATTAAAGTGAAGTGGGAACTATGAAGTGAGACAAACAAGTGCACACCATAAACTTACAAAAACAATCTTAGCACAACCATGTGCTTCTCTTTGCAGAGGTCAGGCTTGTATTTACGTACTTTATTGCCTTCTTTGCACACACTATTAATTTTTTTACTTAGTATCAGTATTTTGCATGGTTAATCTTTCATTACAATATTCCAATGATGAATGCGACGTGAAAATCGATTTCAGAAATCCTTCATGGTTTTTTGGATTTGAAGTGGTGACGGCGGAATTAATCCTATTTATTCCCGTAGCTATGCAGAAGACGTTACGTCTGGCGCTAGCCGGGGTCCACACAGCTTTAATTCCCGAAGCTATGCAGAAGACGTTACTTCAGTAACGTCTGGCACTAGCCAGGGTCCACACAGCTTTAATTCCCGTAGCTATGCAGAAGACGTTACTTCAGTAACGTCTGGCGCTAGCCAGGGTCCACACAGCTTTAATTTGGTATTTGTTTGTTTGTGTGTTTGTTTGTTTGCTTGTTTGTGTCACGCCTGGCGCTATCCGTATCTGACGGCAAAAAAGCATAGGATGTTATAAATTTTTCAATTCTCCTTTTTTTTCAGGCATATCCTGGGATTCGAACCCGCACTATCGCCCTACATGCATTCCCCCATACACTTCGCATTCATACCCATTCTTCCAAGTTGCTTCACGTTATTATCTTGCGTTTGAAAGCCCTATTTGAATATTGCGGGCAGCTAGACGGTGTCGTATTACCCTCGATCGTACCTGTCCCGTACCTATTCCCTACCGTACCGTGCCATCAAAGATGGCTGGCCACAATGCATATTCAAATAGGGCTTTCAAATGCAAGATCACAATGTGAAACAACTTGGAAGAATTAGTATGTATGCGAAGTGTATCGGGGGCTGCATGCAGGGCGCGCGATAGTGCGGGTTCGAATCCCAGGTTTTAAAAAAAGGATTTTTTTAAAGAAAACATCCCTATGCTTTTTTTTGTCTAGGTCATCAAGGCAAAAAAGCATAGCGTAGGGCCCTGAGCTTCCAAGCTCTCTCGTTTGGTGTTTGTGTGTTTGTTTGTTTGTGTCACGCCTGGCGCTATCCGTATCTGACGGCAAAAAAGCATAGGATGTTATACATTTTTCAATTCTCCTATTTTTTTTCAGGCATATCCTGGGATTCGAACCCGCAATATCGCCCTACATGCATTCCCCCATACACTTCGCATTCATACCCATTCTTCCAAGTTGCTTCACGTTATTATCTTGCGTTTGAAAGACCTATTTGAATATTGCGGGCAGCTGTATGTGGCCAGCTGTGTTTGATGGTACGGTACGGTACAGGAGACGGTTTCGTATTACCCTCGATCGTACCTGTCCCGTACCTATCCCCTACCGTACCGTGCCATCAAAGACGGCTGGCCACAATGCATATTCAAATAGGGCTTTCAAATGCAAGATCACAATGTGAAACAACTTGGAAGAATTAGTATGTATGCGAAGTGTATCGGGGGATGCATGCAGGGCGCGCGATAGTGTGGGTTCGAATCCCAGGTTATGTCTTAAAAAAAAGGATTTTTTTAAAGAATTTATAACATCCCTATGCTTTTTTTTGTCTAGGTCATCAAGGCAAAAAAGCATAGCGTAGGGCCCTGAGCTTCCAAGCTCTCTCGTTGCTATTTTCCATAGCTTTGGAAGCGCTGTGGAACCTGTCCAGCGCTAAATGCTACTGGCGACAGACGCTACTAAAGTACCGTATTTTGCACCCTGGCTAGCAAGAAACTCTATTGTTTGTAATGCCTTCTGTACAGCTTCGGGAACAACGGATTGTTCCACTTTTTCCAGTGCTTGTGTGCATTATGTAAGTATTAACACTCAGCCCTTTGACTGTGTATCTACTGCAAGGGTTGCCAGTCCCCATAAAGTCGTACTCTCGAGCAGTATGCAGCTGTGCAGGGGTTGCCAGTCCATGCAAAGTTGTACGCGTAGTCTTCAGTCTTGAGCAGTATGCAGCTGTGCAGGGGTTGCCAGTCCATGCAAAGTTGTACGCGTAGTCTTCAGTCTTGAGCAGTATGCAGCTGTGCAGGGGTTGCCAGTCCATGCAAAGTTGTACGCGTAGTCTTCAGTCTTGAGCAGTATGCAGCTGTGCTGCGATACCAGCACATGTGAAGAAAAAGAAATGCTCACCTTTTGACCATATATGTAATAATGAAGAAAAAGAAATGCTCACCTTTTGACCATATATGTAATAATGAAGAAAAAGAAATGCTCACCTTTTGACCATATATGTAATAATGAAGAAAAAGAAATGCTCACCTTTTGACCATGTATGTAATAATCTTCTCATACATTGCCAGCGAGACATGTTCGGTACTGGCGGCCTCAACAGCTATCGTCTGGCCTATCGTTACCTTGAGATCCGCGGTGCGGCTGTGACCTGCGTTACGGAATTCAAGGACCGAACCGTCACTTTCACATTGGCTAAGAATGTGTGTCACATCCTCCCAAGTTGTAGCAATCATCGGACCATTTCTTTTGTCGGGAATAAGTACAAATTTGAAACTGTGATTATCCACTTTGAGCGTATCTGTAATGTCCGTATTATCACCATTAACATCAATTTTGATTATCGTTATGTCGTTGCCATTTTGGTCGGGCTGCATAATCATCATTGCCCAGCGCATCTCAACTCTCTTCTTGAAATTCTTTTCTTCCGTTTCCACACCAGGTGCCAGTCGGGCATATACAACTTGCACTTGCTCAGTACTTAATATTGTTGGGTACACATTTGTTGCGAGTTCCGTGCTCTGTACACCGTCGAGAACAGGATTTGGGAAACAAAGCAGACAATCAGACAAAGAGAACACTTAGAAAGCCTCACCCTGCTCCGGACATGAGCGGACTCCATTAAGGTACATAGGTTCTTATGGAGTGACAATTTCACTCAGTAACATCTCTGGCCGATCGGCACTGTGGCACGTACACACACGTACACACACAAACACACACACCCACACAAGCATACCTGCCCATACACATATTTTACATATTTCTCACTCTCCGCCATACATGTCCTTGCTTACTGCCATCACTGGTCACGTGGGTCTCCCCTTGGAAGAGGGGAGAGAGACTCAACAGGAATCTTGGAAGGACAACTCAATTGGCTAATGAACCGCCCAACAGCCGCCATTCCCTGAAATCCCCAAACTTGTCACTTATGTCTATTGCATGCAATTCCTTCAGAGCACACTTAAACCCTGTTGCAGTCAACTCTACCAGCCAAGATGGCACTTTCAGTTACTTTTGGTTGCTGTGTGCTGGTCAAATATGGCACTCAACACACTAAAGGTCGACTGCTGTTAACTAGGGGTGAACGAGTATCTATTTTGACCAATCGATCACTCGTTCATAATATTCGATCGAGTATCCGATTATTTCGAGTACTTTATGAAAATTCAAAAGCACTAGATTTCCGAGTTCTCGATCAATTCGGAAGAAATTATCTGTGAACATAGAACAAAATTCGCCAACGTCTTGTACAGAGTGTAAAGTAACGATTTTCATCAGTACTTTCATATCTCAGAACGTTACTTGCCGTGGTGATCGTATCGTCCAAGTCTTAAAAATTAATTAATACTGACTCAAAGCCATGCATAACGCATGCATACCAGTTGACCAGCGGTACAAAAAAAGTTTTTGAAAATACAATGCCAATACTAAAAAAAAAAAAAAAAAAAAAAGATCGAGTGCAAAATTTCGAATACTCGCTCGTTTGAAATTTTCGAACGAATACTCGAATATTCGAACTAATAGTTTCACCCCTACTGTTACCGCAAGGTAGGTTGTCTCTGCATCCGGTGCAGTTTCTGTGTAGAACTGTCCATGCATGGAAAACGGTCGTTAAAAGTAGGTGGTCACTAAAACCAGAGGTGGCTTACACCAGGTTTTACTAGATACTGTATAGGCACATCCCTAGCTTCCATGCCAAGATACGTAAGTGTGTCCAGCCAAGAAAACACATCGATCATATTCCCTTACCAGCAAAGCAGCCTCGTCATCCCCTCGCTGAAGAAAATGAGAAAGTATACACACACACACACACACACACACAAACACACACACACACACACACACACACACACACACACACACACAATTGTGATGCACTTGCATACGTACACACTCACACATGCACATTCACAAATTACGACAGTCAACTTTTGACGATGCATGTCTTTGACATCGCTTCAGCAAAAAAAGGGCTTGATACGAATTTTCATAATGAACAAATGTCTAAACAAGCGGCGAGGCGACAACAATTTAAGGGAAACGGTCAACAGAACCAGCTGAATCGACATTTTGTATTTTTTTGCACGTCTATACGGAAGAATGTGATGTGATGGCAAATAGCGAAAATGTGACAACATCAGGGAAAACACTGGTGGACTATAATGGAAAAGGAAAACTTGTCACTAGCTCTCATCAAGAAGAAACGCTGTAACGAAGAAAACCATGGACCTTTGGAGCATTGATGTTCTCTAGTACAACGTTTCTCCCTGATAAATTATCAGTCTGGAAGTGAACTGCCTGAAGACAGAAAACAAAGGTCAACCCCACCTGGACTCGAACCCGGTAACTTGCTTGTCATGAGCCATGCGAGCTTTGGGGAAAGGGCCGAGCCTAAAAGTCGGTGACAAGTTGTTCACTCTCTGGTTCACGCCATGGTTGAGTTGGCATTGTTTGCTTTTTTCGAGCAGTTCACTTGAGCCGAAGTTCTGCGAATCCTTTAAGATATTATTAATCATCTTTTTTCACCTCTGGCAAGCACAAACTATTAGTAATAGAGCCAGATGAATGTTCTAGAACTCACTCACACGACACGGTAACAAAATTGGAGAAGAAAACTGAACAGGGTACAGCGAGTCAATACCTGATATGGTCGGTGGAGTTCACTCCCTGCTGGAATGGCGTTTGTATCTCCGGCAGGTCCCTGGAAGGTAGTAGACATGACAAAATGTGGCGTTGACTAGAGGGTTCACTGTGTTGATCTTAGCTGATATAAACACACGGTGTACCCAAGCCAAGCCAGGTTTTAAAGTGTACAAATTGTAACTGCATGTTTTCATTCTCATGTCTAAAAAGTAATTATCGATCCCTCCCTACCCCTAACAAAGAACCCCCCCCCCCTACCAATCACTCCCCCCCCTCTCAAACTACCACCACCACAGCTGCCTTCCAACCCTGCCTCACCCCCCCCCCCCCACCCCCTGTAGAGAGGGTTGGCAGAGCGAACGCTCGCATGAATATTTGAGTCTGGTCTCGTGAATATTTCTGCGAACGTCCTCGCGCAGTTTCTGTGTTGCATGATTTTAACTCCAAGAACGTACGCGTGCACTACTGCGATCGCACTAGCTTGAGAAGTCGTGTTTGGAGTTTCAGCCGACTGAGACCATAATATTTGCTGCGCGTGGTGGCACCCTGACTGGGCCTGAGAAGAGAGCTCTTTGACTATGTTGTCCATGGCCAGCATCACGCGAAATTACGCATCTATGAGCGACATCCACAGAACCTGCTGGGAGAGTACGCGTGTACTCGAGTCTCATCCTGGGCACATTTTTTTTCTTTTCTTTTTTTTATGCTCCTGTATAGCTGTATTATTCATAGCAAAGCGGTCTACGATAGTTATTTTCATTGTGCAATCAAAGTGGACATTCAATCAAGAAGGCGGAGGACAGAAGAGCCTGATTCGAGTTTCTCGTGGCATAGGACGGCTACACAGAGACACTGCGATTTTCTGAACGAGAGAGCTTGGAAGCTCAGGGCCCTAAGCTATGTTTTATGCTTTTTTGCCTAGCTCATCGTACATGTTATTAGAACTGATGGAAATGTTTTTTTTTCCGTTGATTGGCCACATCATTGTATAGGTGGCTATATAGGTGGCTATACTGCTTGCGCTCTTCACGCGTCAAAGAGGACACCATTGCATGGTTTTTTCCTCTACCATAGACCGCACAGTTTCCATGTGCGCAGCTGCAGTAGCACGACGTTTCCTGTGACAGGCGCTGACTGTGCCGATCACATGCGTTCTGGAGTCGACGGGATGTCTGTCCTGCCGTTTCCTGGGACAGGCGCTGACTCTGCCGATCACGGGCGTTCTGGACTCGACAGGATGTCTGTCCTGACGTTTCCTGGGACCGGCGCTGACTCTGCCGATCACGGGCGTTCTGGAGCCGACGGGATCTCTCTTCCGACGTTTCCTGTGACCGGCGCTGAATCGCCCGTTCACGCTTAGTATGGAGACGACGGGATCTCTCTTCCAAAGTATAGTTTTGCTGACGCATCATATCACCTATTCGGCGTCTATTCTAATTTCTTTTCCTCCTCGTCTCCCTATTTCTTTCCAAATCTCCCTCTACATCAGGGAGTGGTATACATAATACGACGAATATTGTGGCCAGCTGTGCTTGGTGGTACGGTACGGGACAGATACGGGAGCCAGAAAATATTGTGGCCAGCTGTTATGTACAATTCTGTGGAGCCTTTGTAGTCACAGATATGGGACAGATACTGGACAGATACGGGATAACTCCAGGCGTGACACAAATAAACACCAAATTAAAGCTGTGTGGACCCTGGCTAGCGCCAGACGTTACTGAAGTAACGTCTTCTGCATAGCTACGGGAATAAAATATATTCATGGTGGACTACTCCCGTCCCCAACTCCAGACCCTTCTCCGATCTCAACCCCAGCACAACGCAAATGCCAGCAACAACCCCAGCCATGCTCCCCAACCCTAACTACACAACCTCGATATCGCCAACCCCAACTACGAATTCAGGCTGCAGAGTCCAGAGGCACTCAAGCAGAATACCCATAAAGCCATGCAGGTTGTAAACAGTTCTTCAGTGCAGGAAGACTATTCGTTTTTTTCCCTGCAGTTAATCATGAGGAGAAAAGCCACCACCTGCCCCATCTCAAAGGACCTGAGCACTTCAGCATGTGGGCTCCACATCTCCCCCCCCCCCCTTCCACAACCACTGTCCTAGATTCAAACGTCTAATGGTGTGTGGCGGAACTATTGCAAACTCCTCTTGCTGAAAATATTTGACTTGTGGAGTGCTGCTCTGGCTGAGTGCTTGATGATTCTGTGGCACACCTGTTGAAATTTAAAAAGAAAAAAAATAGCATTGTCAAGCTTCTGATTTTTACTTACTTCTGGAGGTCCTCTGAACATTCGTTTTGCAGGTGGATAGTCTGGATTATCCTAATGCAGGAGAGATCCAAAAAATGCAAAATAAGAAACAGAGAGATAAGACAGGCAAGTTGCAACCAGTTTACAACAGCCCCAACTAAGTGAGCTTTTTGCGTAGATTTTTTAAAAGATGCTTGGCTTAGACTTGGGTGGTGGGAAAGTGGCACTAATGGATTTTGCAGTGCTGGACCCAGGTATTGGGTCGATGAATGTCTCAGTAGCGTGTCAGGTGTGTGTCTTGCTGTCGCACTAACTCTGAGTGCATGTGATCTGGTTATATCATTAGACAGGTTGTCTTAACTCGCAACACAGTGGTGTTACAACTATCCATGTTAAATTAAGCTGATGGCCCAATTACACGTCCAATATCTCCAATGATATTCAAGAAACTGTATTCCAAACCTTAAAATTATGAAGGCAACATTGAATTGGTGAAAAGCCGAGGCGTAATCGCAACCATCACCGCCCGCAGGATAGCGGATCAAGCTGGCCGATTACTATTCAGACTCGGGAGATCAGCCCTAAGGGCAGTTTGCGCTGGTTGAGGCACATATCTCGTTACCCTTAAGGGCTGTTTGCCCTGGTTGAGGCACATATCTCGTTACCTTGGTGGATTGCTGGTCATAACTCGCAACATACTATTATTTTAAGGCAAGCAGATCCAGCACATTTTAATGCGGCTTCTTGTGTTATGTGCAGACTGTTCTTGGTGGCTCTCCTATTTTCCGATATCAGCCCCTCCTAGATCCAGAGATCAAACAAACAGCATGCTATGGCTATACTCACGTCTACATCTGATCTTGGCACTTGGGGCTGAGGGGCAGGACCTTGGTTGGGCTGAGGGGCAGGACCTTGGTTGGGCTGAGGGGCAGGACCTTGGTTGGGCGGAGGGGCAGGACCTTGGTTGGGCGGAGGGGCAGGACCTTGGTTGGGCGGAGGGGCATGACCTTGGTTGGGCGGAGGGGCACGACCTTGGTTGGGCTGAGGGGCACGACCTTGGTTGGGCTGAGGGGCAGGGATACCGCCCTGTCCTCTACGACGTCCTCCACGACGTCCTCCACCTCTTCTGCCACCTTTTGGCATTGTGCTGCTCTATATGTAGCTGAAATGGATATAAGACAAAACAAAGTCACAAACAAGACAAGACAAAACAAAACAAGACAAAATAAGACAAAACAAAGTCACAAACAAGCAATGCAGGTTTGGATCAGAAGATGTAATTTGGAAGAAAGAAAACCTCAGCGCCCTTTTTGTCTGGACATTATGAGCATAGTGAAGTTGAAGCGTACAGGAACAGCAGCTTGCTGATTTGTTGTTGTGGTGTAGTTCTTCTTTCTTGTCATGGTGGGCTGTTGTTCAGCAAGTGACCCTTCGTAGCGGCTTCATTCGAGTTTCTGCGAGGGAAGGGATTCCGTCCATGATATCACCGTGCTGGTAGCGTAGCGAAAAGGCACATGGAGGCGCTCCGTGTGTGCTTTCCAGCTACGAGGTTGGTTTCGGCTAGTGCCATGCATTTGGAGCTTTGGAAAAATTTGAATTTTCCCCAGGTGATTTGCAGTGGATAACTTTATTCAAGACCACTTTTAACAATCAAAGCGAGATATGAACAAAGGAGAAAGGAAGGATCAACAGCTAACTACAACAGAAGCAACACACTCAGCGGACAAGGGCGAAAGGAGGGACGTGATAGCAGGGCGACGGCCGAGTTGAGTTCAATGGACCCGGTCAGGCGGGATGGACGAGACAGAGAGAGTACAGAGGAAGCGGAGGATGGAACGGACGGCGGAGGGAGCAGTGAGTCTTAGAGCAGTGATGGGAGTGATGGTGAGAGTGCCGGTGAGAGTGTTAGTGTTGTGCGTAGGTTTCGTGGTAGCAAGTCTTCAGTGTACAATCATCTGCTAGCTAGTCCTGATTGTTGCAATTCGTATTCCGACTCTTCTTTCACTGTATTGTGCCGTGGTCGTCATGGTTATGGACTACAGTCAAAAGTGTTGGAAGCTATCTATCAGCGTCTGTATAAGCCTAATTTGTGTGTACAGAAAGATAGTATAATTGGGTTGAAATTGTTCAAGTAACGTGTCGTATTTAGTGCGGCCAAGCTTGGCCGTTAATGTTCTAGGTGTAATGTACTGCTGTTATGTGTTATCGCGTTGTCTTTCCTTCCTTTCTCCTAAGACCACTTTTGTTGACGCTTGGGGACAAGTTGTCGCCGAATATGGTGGTGGTCTCCTCCCACTTTCAGGACGTAACCCCTCTACTACTGGCTCTTGAAGATGACCTTCGTAAGTACTGCCAGTAGACAGGCTCAATGGATCGATTTGTGCACAGCACTCAGCAAGTCGCCAATCGAAATTTGGACGGCTAAACATTACTACGTAACTTGGATCGTTGTGCGAACATAGTTGGTTTTGCTACGCTGCGTTGTTGTGAGCAGCAGTGAGCCCTTGTTCTTGGACTTTGTTAGAAGGTGTTTCCCGTCTTCTTTTTATCATTTTTTTTGTCTATTTCTAACGAACGGAGGGTTTCTGGATCAAACTGTCATAGTGGGTGAATGAGGTCCACCTAGGGATAAAAGCAGCCAACTTTGAGCAAAATTGGAAATTTGGCCATCTCGGAATCTTGTTGAATGAAAGGAAAACAGTTTCTGAAATGCTGTGTGGTCCTTCGCGTAATCTCTTTTCAAAGTCTCCAGTATAGACTTTCATGGAGATGTTCTTACAAACTCCACTGGCAAATTGCTTCTGTTCGAACATTTGTCATGATTACGCTGATGCTTCGGACTAGCTGAGCGGATTTTGCCAAGGAGTGATATTTTTACTACTTCGCTTCTAGCTAAGACGACGCCTGGACCAACACTACGTACAGGAATTGCATCACGTGATGGGAGATTTCGCAGCCGACGGTCCTCAGACTCAAAGAAATGGCATCCATAGTCGCACACGCTTGGGAACTAATTATTTGCTTATGTTGGATGACATATGGACCAAAGCAGCGATGCTGTGATGCCTTATCCATCAAGCCGTTGTACATTACGACTATTCTAAATCCAACGTAAACTGAGCACACGGCAATACAGTCAGGATGTACCCTCGCCAGCGAACGAACATGAACAGAAAATTCCCCCCACCGAAGCACACAGTTAGAACACGACAACTTACCAAAGAATCTCGGTTTGGTGTTGAAGGAAAATCCTGATGCGTCTGCTACGCGAGATTTCGTCTTTCTTCGATGGCTGTTTCTTTCCGATCACCAGCCAAATCGTCGAGTGTATAGTTGACTATTGATTTCCCTCTAAAACTAATGGTTCATCGATCGCTTACTCAAGCAATCCGGGGTATGGTCAAAGGAAAATAAGAATATGTAGGGAAACAAATTCAAAGATTTTGGGATGTGTTGAACATCGCAAGTTGGTGTGCTTTGCCGTGGAATCTCTTGGCGCACATTGAACGCGACGGACGCGAGGGAGCTGGGACCAGCAGCGTATGTCTTGTACGGCGGTAGGAACCGTAGATTTACGATGCGTCTGTATCGCACCATTCGTGTGCATGCAGCTGGCCCGCATGCACATCATCGTAGTACAGTCGAATGTCACTTATCCGGTCGCCAGTTATCCGAGCACGTCGGTTATCCGACAAGCCCGGGAGTGGTACTTTTATGACTCTCAACAGCAAAATTCTTTGAAAAAAAAATGTTTTTGTTTTGTATATTTATACGGTGTAATATGCATGCTTACTCTATGTAGTACCCGTATGATAGATATGCATTGGGTGATGACTCTTGCCTTCAGTGGCGGCAACGCACTAACTACCTAATTGCATGCATGGACGCAGGACGCACTTGCGCTGGTTAGCTTTATGCTGTGCCCGCTACTTCTGGTGGTTTGAGCACTCTCAGCGCTAGTACATCGAGCTGTCCTAATGTCTGTGGTTCTCCTAGCCATGGCTGACAGTTCAATCCTATTTTAAGCTCGGAGCTGCACAGTCTGGCTGTCTGCATCATTGAGTAATTGAATGCATGGTATATGAATCCAAACACTGATAATTCACAATCTCATTCTTTACTTATAGGAAAAGAAAAAGGACCAAGGAACCAACAGTTACGCATTAATGTGCACTAACACAACCAGTTACTAAACAATCAGCTCATGCGACAGCATTGCACGACACTGACCGACGGTATTGACGTTATACAACTAACTGGCTAAAAGCGCTAGCACGCCTTGGATGCGCACTCCAACAGCTTGCTAACTTGGAAGGTTCTCAGTTATAATAATAGGTACCGGTATGATAACATAGGAGGGGACAAGCACGAGCTGAAAGCTGTGAAGGACGTTGGTGGATGTGCATGCATGTCGATGACCATACTTGCAGGACAATTGGACCATTGGACAATACGGTCAAACCACGATTCAAGGCCGCATAGCAACATTCCACACAACTTGCCCGGCTCCAGGATATGAAGTTCAATAAAAGGGGAAAATATGCGAAAAAGAATCATGCAAAACCGAACGTCTCAGTAAAACGGCACTGCACTTCGACTGTGACAATTTTGATGGACAATGAGCAGCGGTAACAAGCAACAGTTTCACACGACGAGCGTTTCGCCAGATAGATAAGGTCGGCTCATCAGGTGTGCAAGAATGGACTCGGATGGAGAGCCAAGGATAAATTGGCTATCAGCTCTAGCTCGCCTTTGATGCGCACTCGAACTGCAAATGCCCCACGACGCAGATAACCAGATCAATGTGTGGGAGATCAATGTGTGGGTTCTCTTCACTCAGTATAGTCGCGTCGCGCGAGCTGTAATTCCCGGTGCCGAAAGGTGGGCTCACACCTCTGCATGGCTACTTCCCCTTGTCTAATCCCCCAAGACGAAATGATAGTAACCGACTGGCCGAAAAATAACAATTAAAAAAGCCTTCCGAGTTGGAATTAAGTGATAATAATCATTCTGATAACATAGGAGGGGAAGGTGAGAGCAAACAAGACAAGTACATGTATGAGCTGAAAGTCTCAGCCGAGAAGGTCGTTGGCGAATGTCCATGCATGTCGATGGCATGTTACAATGTAGTTGTAGAACGTCAGTGCCGTCGGTCAGTGTCGTGCAATGTTTTCGCATGAGCTGATCGTTTAGTAACTGGTGGTGCTAGTGGACATTAAAGCATAACTCGTAGTTCATTGGTCCTTTTTCTTTTCTATACGTTTATCTTTGGTTCTCTACCCGTTCACTTTATGGTACCATAAAATATTATCCCTTGATAGGCATTGACGGCTAATGCTCGAAAAGGTGGCAGATTCTGCTCGAAAAGCAGTGAAATTGGCAGAACCATACAAACCTTATGGGGGGCAATTCCTCCAAATTTTGCTCCATTTCTTTATCCACATACCAAATTTGCATGAAACTTACCAGAAAGAGTACCGAATTCTGCCAATATTTCTGCAGGCATTATCAGTAAAGGCCTATTTTCCCTGATTTCCAAGGTAACATATCGACAAGGTTTATCCGGCAGATTGTATTCGAATTTATACGAGATACTAAAATCTGATGCATCATTCTACTTTCCGTGCTGTCCAGCTTTTTGGCGGATCAAGCACAAAATTAATACATCATACAGACACGCTCTCGGAAAGGTGCTCAAACGTAGAGGACGTTCTTTGCGGGTGTGAAAAGGAGATGCAGTTTAGGTTTGTCATGCTCATGACATGTACACATGTAGCATGATGTACATGTAGGTGCAGGAACATGCGAATGTCCAGTACACGTCCAAACTCCATTATCTTGGCGTTTAGGGCACAGAGTATGCCATAATGGCATGGTGCCGGAGTGAACAGCGACTAATTAATGAATTACATCTTTTTTTGC